TATGTGCGCCAGGCGCGTCGCAGCGTAACAGTGTTTCGTGAGATGTCGCGAAGCCTGTTACGCGAGACGTGGTCTGGCGTACATATAGCTAGTTAAACCTTAGTTAGTCAACTAAAATGTCTTGTGGGCAAGCTGAGGAAGTTACCGCACAGCGTATCGACTCCTGAGTTATCTCCTTATATAAATTCCACACCGAACCGCATATAGCCGTTCCCGGGATTATGCCTACGGGAGCCCAGGGGGGTGAAAAGTGTCAATTTCCCTCAATGACCCAACTTCGAACCCTTAGAGAGGGGTTAAAGGTCCGACATTGAACCAGAATGGACTGTTTCGCAAGTCTTGGGATATCTTGAAGTACTTTATTCCAGGTATACCTGTTCAATCCCAGGTTTTCACTCCACCCTAGCGGCCAGCCGCTCGGACTGCGGCGATGAAATTGGGGTTCCACCTCTCCCCCCCCCCCTTTTCCGGGGCCCTTTTTTTTTTTTACCCTTTTTTTCAGGCACCCGGGGCCCTTTCCCGGGGAATTGTTTTCCAAAATGGGGCACTGAACGCAAACTATCATTCGGCACAGTATTGACACCTGGTGCTTTACTGATGTCATTATGATGTATTACGAACAAGAAAATAAAGGACACACGATCCCAACAACATTTTCACGTTGACAAAGAGCCCTAGTTGTCGGAGTAAGCCCGTATGAAGGGAGCACACACTCAAAATAAAGTTAGTGTCGACTACTGGAACAGATGTCTTTTTCTGGCCCAGTAGTCGACACCGCCATTTTTTACGCCCCTGACCGAAATTTTTCAAAACCTAAATGGAGAAAGATGATACATATCTTTGACAACAACACAAACGTCCTCTGGAACCACTCGGGTGAATGGCAGCCTCACAGAACCTTTTGAGCGAACACCTGCCCACTACTCCGGAGCTAAGATATTGTGGCTCGATGTGACGCGACGAGCAGTCTCCCGTGCGAAGCGCTCTCAACCGGCTCCCGGAGGTGGCACGGAATTTAGCAATGGGTTCATTATAATCTCAATAAAATGCGCTACAACCCGCAAAAACGCGCGAGACTCTAACGTTAACTTCTGCGCGGGAAATCGATCGCAAAGTTGAAAGTGTCGACTACTGTGTCGAGGGGTCGTCAACTCTCCTTGGCCGTGTACGGAGGAATATTGAATATTACAAGTAATAATGGTAATATTGAGCCATTTTTCAAGCTGTGACGTCATAATACTAGAAAAATGTGTAATATCGAGGTAATATTACCAGTAATATGGCTATTATTGGTGTAATGTTTGAGGTAATATCAGTCCGTGTACGGAGGAATATCGAAGTTGACGACCCCTCGTACTGTGTACTGTCGACTACTGGGCCCCTTACCCTATCGTTCAGACAGACAGACAGACACAAACAAACAAACAAACAGAATGACACTTTTCCGGTCAGTGGTGTAATGGGCTTCGCTTATCGCTCAGCCAACAAAATAAGTCTTAACCAAACCATACGGGGGAGGCAACGGGTGGTGTTGGCCCGTTGCGTTACACTTGCCCCCCCTGCGTCCTGCTGTATGATGAAGTCGATATAAACGCCCCTCATGGAGGACGTTTAAAAATTCGGCAGCAAGGCAAATGTTTTGACTTTTGCTTGGTGCGTCGAACTGTCTATCTCAGTTTGTACAAGACACCGCACAATGAAATCGTTAAATTGAATTGTGGCACTCTACTTGTCTACTTACACTAACTAAAGGTGTGTTGAGACCGTTGCCATTACTGAGCTGAGCTGGTGCAACGTCAATACCCATAACATCCGATAGAGTGTCTATCTACTCGTCATACGTATCTATGGCGTTGTGTGAATAATAGCCGAGGGGTACCCGCTGCCTCACACACAGGTATCTTATCAGATGTCAAGTGGGTGGAATCCTAAAAATCTTATCAGCCAAAGCTTGTATAGTTTTAAAAGGAAAGTCCCCGTTGTAGGGAAATAGGGCCATGGTTTGGGATACACGTGGCGTATGGTGGCAATTTAATATGAAAAACAGTGGTGACCCATGTTTAGCTCTGCTTCGAGCTTACATTTTGTGACATATTTTTTAATTTAGCCTCGGCAACGAGACGGCAGGTGGAATAGGTGCCAACATCATATGCCACAGTTGCAGATCAAGCCCGTTGTGTTCTTCAGCGTTAGAACTGGATTGAAAAGAAACAAGGTAGACCTGCGTCCCTTTAAAAATTTTCATTTTGAGCTAAAGGCTGTCATTGGGGAACGGGTCTTCGTCCCGTTTTTGCGGATTCTGTTGAAGCCACCTTTTTGTCAGGATGTCTTTGCTTACTTCGTAGATGAAATTTAACATCTGAATATTCTTTCGGTAAAAGTAAAGCAGTTAGAATATTTGCATATTTTCCTAAACTCGTTTGATTTTAATCATATGCTAGCGTGTTTGCTATAACAAGTAATAACATAGAAAGCAGTTTGTGAATAGCAACAAACAACGAAAGGTAATAATTCGCTTAGCATGGAAGTGAACACATTTCATTATGGATGAGCCACCTTACAATGAACTAACTCATTTCCCTAGGATTGTTTTGGTTTGTTTCTTGAACTGATGGCACCGATGACACAAAGGCGAGGCTGGCTAACAAATTTGCCAGCCAACACAGTTTTTTTTATAGTTCTTTTTTAGCCCGCCCTTCTGCTTTGAAAAAGCTATCCAGCGGGCTCATGCAAACGACCTTGTGTCTGTCTGTCTGTGTGTCTGTCTGTTCCACTAGAAAGAGATATGCTAGAGACATAAAATTTTCAGGGTATCTTAAGGTTCACTCCTAAACCCATCAACCGCTTCAGGAATGGCACAAAATATTACTTCCCTACCTGAAGCATTGGTTTGTCACTTTTCCTTAATTATTCAAAGAAGATAAATATTGAATTGTTAAATTTTATCTATTCTGTATACTATAGACCGCATGGATGAGACAAGCCCTCGCAACTGGTGCCAACAAAGGGGAAATAAGGAATGCTTTAGAAAGAACTTTCGAAGAGAGACGCAATCGGATTCAGAATTCTTAACCGACACCATCGTGCACTGAATTGCTGACCAAATACCGCCATTTGGCCAGTTACAAAGGAGATATGGTAAGAACTAATGTAAATGTACAATGAGCTGTTCTCTTTAGTACCTTCTGATCATTAATAATTTAATTTTTCCTGACAGTTATCTGAGGAGTCCCATAGACTATATCCATTACACAATAATTTTGAAGTAAAATTCATAGAAATGGCTGAACATATATGGACTCCCTGTAAAACAAGACGAAAGCCAAATTCCGCCAGGGAGGTGACAGAACTTCAAGATAAATTTTCTGATGGTAAGAGAGTTACTGGCTATCAAATTGAAGAGGGACACCGACATGTATTATCACATTTTGTTTCTTTTAACAGTTAACATACGTGCCCTTGTATTACCTCCTAAACTCCTGCGAAGCAGCCTAAATACAACAAACACTAATGCCATGCTATTGCAGCATAATAAAAAAAAGAGAGACTTGATCGAATCCCATCCACATCATTCATTCAAATTGCTCATGTATGTATTTCCACCTTCTTACGAAGTGCATGAAAATAAGTGCAACTAATATTAATTCATTTTGCCTATATACTTTGATGTGCTACACTGTTTTCAGGAAAATAAATGTGCTGAGTCATACATATCATCTGAGTATGTTGGTGTGGAACTTCCTCTCCCACCATTCATTCTTTGGCTGACGTCTGACAGAAAAAGTGGTGAAGTCTACCTAAAAATTGACAGAAAAACAATTTTATGTTGCATCATTTAGCGCCAGTATGTCAAATCCTCTTGTGAGAGCTGTAAGAAGTTTAATTGAGGCTACCTATGTATTCAATTTAAAGTACCATTGCTATTTGCGCCACTGTTACCATTATCTAGAGATGATGTTTGGCATTATCCAGAATACAAAATTCACCAATGTCAAAGCACTTATTGCTGCCACAAGAGCATTGAAAAATGCTTCTCATTAATTCTGACTATTTTTCTGTCTGGTGATTGCCAAAGTCTAAATATTTCATCTGGAAAGACATTGTAGGTAAGATGAGCATTTGTATCTCAATATACCAGGTAGAGGATAACCTCTTTCTAGTTAATCTTGTTGGTTTTCTAAAAGTGTCTTACTTAACAAGACATTTAAATTTATAAATATTCATAATCATGCCTAGAAATATTCAACTCTGGTTACAAGGGTCGTCTGCAAGCAATGAAGATGTTTGGAGTGACTCCGGGAAAGTTCTGTGTGAAGTACTGTAATGCTGCTAATTGGAAGCGAGTAGCTAAAGCCAATGTAAAGGCATTGGGGTCCACGAAGGAAGCTAGAAGAGCCAAGAGACTGTATAAAAAGCAGTTAGAGGAAGAGCAACAAGAAAAGGAAGGCCCACCATATGATCCTGGTGGATTTTAAGTTGACCTGATACTGATTTCCATGAAGTAACTGTTCCCAAACTTTGAAGCTTGTTTTCTCTAAATATTTTTTGTCAAGCTTGCGCGCATGATTTCTCTTACAGTTTTGGAGGCAACGTCCTGGTTTTTTTTTCTGCTTGTTCCTTATGTTGTTACCTATAAATTGACACAAGTGTTTGGTGATAATACACCCAGGTCTGAACTTATAAATTTTTGAATGGTTAAAAAAGTGGTAATTTTAGTCATGATTATAAAATATGTCATAACTTAAAAAATAATTTTAATTCCCCCAGATCCCTGTGTCAATTTAAAGACCTTTATGGAACCTTTCTTTCCTCTGAAGAGTTTGTTCCTGTCTGAATCTGTTTTCCCAAAATCTTGCGCGCAGACTTTTTACATTATTTGACACAAATATTAAAGTTCCATTTTACGTAACCTTAATCAGCGATACTTGGGGTGAAAAAATATGGAACATGGGCTCTGATAGAGGTAAAAGCAAGGGGTCTTACTCACCTACCTCAGCAGTGACTAGTAGTACCCAGAAAAAAATGACAAAAAAGCGCAAAAAATAGCAAAAAAACGTTAACGCTAACGCTAACGTGAGAGCAGATGACTTTTGCCGATTGGCGTTGAGCTTTTACTCTGAACTCTGGGCGCGGCAGGACTAAGCTGTCCACGGCGAGCGAGGCGTGGTGAGCATGGCGCAGCGCGGTGGGCATGGCGTGGCAAGCGTGGGGCGCTTTGCTTTGCTTTGTGAAATGGTTTATCGACAAGGGTCAGACACGCTACGCTAATTATGAATGAGCTAGCAATTAACGCTCGTAATAATGCAAGAACTACCTGACACGTGCTTAAAACTTGACACTGAAGTCGAAATTGTCGTACGAACTTCATCTTTGTTTTAAAGAGCGATAGACACCAACCTGTGCCTACTATGCAACTCCGACCAATATATTAACCACTTTTAAAGACACTGGGCGTCCATCACGTAGTATAATGGCCTTATTATTGTCATATGGCGTTAGCGGAGAATCGACAAGGTCATAAAACCTAACCCCAGCGCGGCGCGGTGCGGCCCAGCGTCATAAAACTGAACCGCGGCGCGGCGGCGCTGCGTTGTCAGGGCGCGGCGCAACGCGGGGCATGGGGCCCGTCACCTCGGGGCGCGGTGCAGTACAGCAACGACCGACCGACGGAGCACGCGCACTGTAAAAAAAGTTTTACTGAATTTTCAGTACTTTTAGTCTGAAGTTTTTCTACAGACCAGTAGTCTGAAAATTCAGACTGCACCTGGGTCTGAAATTTCAGTACTGCCTTACCATACCACTTAGTCTGAAAACTCAGACAGCCGGTATGAAAATATTCTTGAAAATGTAAAAAATGAACAAATAGCGAGCCACTTAACAACTGTGGGGGTAGAGAGCTATGCCCAGGTGAGGACATATCTGTCCATTCGGTACTGCCCTTGGTTGGGATCGAACCGCCAACCTTCAGGCTCGGAAGCTGCAACTTTAACCATTCAGCTGCCGGCTACCTGCGTGGTGGTCAGCGCCGGCTACTGGTGTGCTTCGTCCGCCTGTCCGGTGGACTTTCCACTCAAAATTCATACCGGTAACTCTGAATTGTAAAATTCAGTGTGTAGTCTGAAAATATACTTAAAAATATTCAGACAAATTGCTCTGAAAACCTGATTCAGAGTAAAGAGTCTGGATTTTCAGTTTAAACTCAGAAACTTTTCAGTAATAGTCTGAAAACAAGATTCAGACTGCCTATTCTGAAAAAGATCTACTGAATTTTCAGAATTTTTTTTACAGTGCGAGCACGGCTTTTCCCGCACTCCCCCAATACTTTAGGCTGGCTGCTGGCTCGACCGCTCCACGTTCGGCTGCCAGGGCTACGGCGTCCGGGCAGCGCTACGGCGTTTCTGCTTTTGACGCTGACAACTGACAACTTTACGCTTCAACTAACAAACGGACTTTTGCACTTTACTTGAGTACAAGCTGCTGATTACTACGTATCATCTGCTAAAAAACCTTTAAACCCCCCTTAACCGTATGGTCAGTGACTAATGTACTCTCTCCGGTTCCGGTCATCTGTCGGTTTTCTCGGGAGGTCCCCGATGACGTTCCCGGGGTCCCGGACGACCTCGGCACTGCTAGATTCAGACCCAGCGTGTGTGCAAACCCTCGTACTCCAAATTTCTGATGAATCGGAGTTGTCATGGGGGTGTCATCGGCGTGCTCGGGAGGTCCCTGATGACGTCCGCGGGGGCCCAAACGACCTCGGCACTCCAGATTCAGACTCAGCGTGCCAGAAAATGCCCATACCACGAAATTTGAGTCGTTTCAAAGTTGATGGTCGGTCGGCCTACCTTATTTTGACAGCCCCCCCACACTCTCGCTGCTTGCCGCTAGTACCTCTTGCTGCCGCATCGCCTGCCAGGCGCGCCGCGCGATTGGAGTGGATACACTACTGTGCGCGGGATATACGAGCGTGCTCTGTAGATAGAATACTTACAAACCCCTTTAAAAAGGTACTTTGGGATCAAAATTTCTGAAAAATTCTTGGTTGTACGTGTAGAGGCGCACGTCACGACCTCAAAACCACTCATAACTCAATTTGGTCAAAAATGTCAGTTAGGACATTGTGAAAACGACCCTTTGTAGATAGGACAGATAGGCGCTGTAGATAGAACGTTGTTGTTAGGACGCGTCGATGTAAGCTTCTAAGATGCTAGTAATATCCTTTACTTTTTATCCGTTTGTTGCACAACTGTTTATATGTAAATGCAAGTTGTCATCTTGGAAATTATTTGACCAATAGTAATCGAATGCGTTCTAATAAAATAAGTTCGTCAACGAAGTTGCTGGTCATCTTCAACGGTCACGGGAGATGAGAGCAGCGTACTTCAAAAACAATGTATTTAGCTAATTTTTTTCAGGCCACACAATATTCTCAATCCATGAAATGAACGATGACACTCGTGAGTAGACGGCGGGGGTATCTCTGAGGGTCCCACAACGCGGGCCGAACGAAGTCACGCCGATGATGTGGTGCATGCAGTAGAGTGGCCCCTTTGCCGTGAACAGTTGCAATGGGCCGCCGGAGTCACCCTGGAAGAAGTAATAAAGCAATAATCAAAGTCAATTTTGCTTTCAATATACTCGAAGCTCTATTCTAGATCACCCCTTTATGGTTTAGAAATTGGGTAATCACACAGCAGAGGGAGGGGGCAATAACTCCCAATCCAAGTCTACACATGACGCATGATTCCCGGATTCCATGATTCCCGTCCTGAATCTCATTGATTTCCGTTGGTTTCCGTCGTGATTCTCGTTGACTACCGCTGATTCCGGTGTCCGCCGGTGTGGACACATGATACCCAGAAATTTTGCCCCATCACAGCAAAGTGACTCATCACCTTTCGGGTCACTCTCGTGCACAGTGGGAAAGGGCTTTTGGAGTATTATCAGGAACACTTTTAACATGTTGGCGCTCGAGTCTGGTTTTCCGGCAAATTAAATAAAGCGCTGTTCGCAGTCATAACTGCGAATAGCAAGCCGCAGCGCCGTTGGCCTTTTGGCCTCCAGTAAGTGATGTGAAAGACACTATTAGTTACAATTTTTCGAAATGAAGCCCTCTTTACAACTTCTAAACGATTACATGAACCACTTGGTCGGTTTAACCTACTGTTCGTCAAAAACGCTCTCTAGGGCCTAAACGGTTCAAGAAAGAGGAAAGAGCAAGCGGGACGAAGTTTTCGTCCTTAGACAGTAGTTTTGCAAGTTATCCCTTAGAAACCAATAATAAAAAAATTATCTTAAAATGTTTTTGCGACCCGTGGTTTTTGATTTTTTTGGCAGTTCCAGACCGTACGAAGTGCACAAAAATCGTCATTTTTTGGATCTTTTGGAGAAACTACTACAGCTACAGTGAAAAGAAACGTGTCTCTTGATTCGTCAGAACTTTCTCCTTCGTAACGTCATGCACGAAAAAAGTACAACCTTGGGAATTCTCGTTAAATATTTTGTTTTTCAGAGCAAAATCGAGCTCTGTTTTGTGTCCGTTAGTGCCGACGCTATTTGCTGCGAATTGTAGTCAAATGGTAAATCCAGGAGACACAACAAGGGCATCGGTGGATGCGTCTCAAGACGACGCGTCCATTCGGGTGTCTCAACAATTTTTAGCACACGCCGGGGCAATAACTCCGGGAACGCCAGATGAGTGGTTTAAGTACTACTTCCGGTACAATTTATCGATTTGAAGCCTTCTTTTCCGATGAAATTAACTATTTGGGCATGTTTACCTTATTTACTTCAAGAAACGCCCTCTAGCACCCAAACGTTGGCCCAATACAGTACCAAAATATTCGGAGAGACAAACGCTGGTCAGAATTATATAGTGTATGACAAATTAACATTTATGGCACCGAATGCGATAAGCGGTGAATATTTTGATTTTTTGGGGGCCACCCTACGGCCCAGCGGTAAGCTTTGCGTACCGCTGGGCCCCGGGTGCATAAAGGACTTAGTGTTCAGAACTGGGTTCTGATGACACGACACCATGGGTCGGACTAACGGCGGGCAGTGTCGTTTTTGGCGTTTTGGCCACGTTACCAACTCTCCCCCCTCACCCGCTCGAACTGTTGACATTTTCAGATTTGCGGCTGTGTGCAAGGTTGGGCGTAACCGATGACGGTTGGGATGATACCGACAGACTCAGGGGGACTTGCCGAAGAATAACAGCAAGTGTCGTTGCGCTGTCGCTACCCGTGGCTGCGTGGCGGGCGCTCAAAGACTCTGCGGCAGCGGCGCGGACGAACGAGTCCCGAGCGCCCCGAAACTTTGAACGCCGTGCGCACCGGGTAAATCGGGTCCGATTTCATTCGGATATTTTGCGCTGTACTCTAAAAGCCAAAGCGCACCGAAAAATTGACTTTTCCGCCGCATCTATTTTTTTTGAAACACCCTAATTTCCGTATTCAGTCCTGTTAACTCATCTCGGGTGTCAGCGCCGCAGGCCTAGCCTATGTGCGTAGGCTACATAACAGTGTTACGTAAGATATCGCGAAGCTTGTTACGCGATACGTGAAATGGCGTGCACATAGCTCGTTTAAAACCGTTTCAGAAAAATTATGTCAAATCGTTTCTGACTACCCGGAGTAGAACTGCGGAGCACCAGGCCGTCAGTAGATCGTCCGTTTCTGGTCAGCTCGCTGCAACGACGTACTGCCGAAGGAGTGTCCAGTTGGCGGCTTGTCAGTAACGAGATGGTGACGAGATAGTGACGCCAGAGAAGTCACCAAGTCGTCGCTCACTCATCTCATTCTCGTCACACTATTGTCATTACGTTAGTCGCAGCTTGGCCACTCTGTCGCCTTCAACTGGTGACGCTCTCGTCAGCGCCGAAAGATGACGAAGAAAAGCAACGCCCGCCGTTGGGATTCAAACCCGTTTCCTGCGGCTCGCCACTTTGACGCTCCAAGCCACTCGGCCACTCACATCTCTATAGATACAGAGGAGCCGTGCCGGCACGCATCTCACGCGCGCTAGGGGCGCCAGGTGACCATATAGTGACGCCATGGTGACGACCTTTCAGGGACTGCGCGCGTGAGATGCGTTCCGGCACGGCTCCTCTCTATCTATAGAGATGTGAGTGGCCGAGTGGCTTGGAGCGTTTAAGTGGCGAGCCGCAACAGGAAACGGGTTCGAATCGCACCGGCGGGCGTTGCTTTTCTTCGTCATCTTTCGGCGCTGACGAAGATGTGACGAGAGGGTCATCAGTTGGCGGCGACAGAGTGGCCAAGCTGCGACTAACGTAATGACAATAGTGTGACGAGAATAAGATGAGTGAGCGACGACTTGGTGACTTCTCTGGCGTCACTATCTCGTCACCATCTCGTTACTGACACGCTGCCAACTGGACACTCCTCCGGCGCAGCGCGCTCATCAGAAAGGAACGATCTACTGACGACCTAGTGCTCCACAGTTCCACTCGGGTATAGTACCTGGCAAGTGTCTTTATTGCCGGAGAGGTCTCCAGCACACAATTGGGTGTCATCCAAGACTCCGCGAGGGAGCACGTCACCTACATCATAGCTCTGGTTGCACTTGGAGTAGTCCTGCACCGGCAGCCGCACCTTCATCAGCCTGTCGCTCGGGTCACCACCTGTAACAACGACCCACAAAATCAATAGACAAGTTAGGACAGGGCAGTGGAGACGAGACGTACATTTCGTGTAATGTGGTCTAAACACAGGGGTGTCCCACTTCCAAAATAGGTGTACAAAGAGTTGGCGCGAGTTATCAATAGTGATAAATAAAATATATCAACTAAGGGAGCGTGGGGTCCCATGAGCCTGGGGATCCCATGAGCCTGGCCCGATATCTCAGCATTAGTAATTCAGAGTCACTGATCAAAACTGCTGTTAAGTTGTCGGTCAGGTGGTTGTTCGAAACCGAGCCTGGGCTTACCACTTTAAGCGATTCAACAGGCGTGAGTGGCGGTCAAACTTTTTAATAGCGATTTTCAGGCAAAAGTAACTTTTGACTTTTCACTTTGACCTTTTGTTTCATACTTTAAACGTCCACTATCAGTCACTGTAATGGTATCAATCTGTTCTGTTGTCTTTCGACTGTATTAAAGAACTATATTTCCGGGCGAAGTCTCCTCTTATTCACTTAATTTTAACATTTATTCCGAAAAGTGTACCCTGGGGTCCCATGGGCCTAGAGGTCCTTAGGGTCCCGTATGCCCCATCGTATGCCTCAAAAAAATCTTTTTTTTCTTTTTCCTTCATATATTGTGTGCTTGTTAAGTAAAATGCCCCTTAACAGAATTACCATAATCAAATTTCGATTCCGAAGAATTTTTCACTTTGAACTTGCTCTAAGGTTAATACAAACATAAATAATATTTTCTGCGGCTGTTTCTCTTGCGACAAAGCTGTTATACCAGATCAGGCGCATAAATAGAGACTATATTTATCATTCCCTTTGAATCGAATTTGAATAGCTCTACTTTATTGACTTATATATTATATACCCGCGCCCGCGTCGCCCGGTGTCACCAGGTCGACGGCGTCCACCCCA